GTCCGCTCCGGCCGCGCTCCACAAGGAGCGATCCGACCGGGGCGCCGCTCCTCCCGGCACCACCGCCATCGTCGGCCGCGCTCTCGACGACCGCCGATGGATGATGAGACCCCGCCAAGCCGCCTCCATCTCTCGCCGTCCTGCCACGTGGCTGCTGCGCGAGCCGATTTCAACGCTCCGTCTCCTCCGGGGATGACCTCTGGAAACGCGTCACTTTCCATGGCTGCCACTCCGTCGACAGCTTTTCCGTCGGCCGTTCTCACGACGGGCCCTGGTCAAGCCACTCACCTTTCTCAAATAGTTTACATGATGCCGTTAACCTGCGTGTGCTCTCTCTCATCCTCTTTCTGTCTCTCAATGCAATTCCGAGCGTGCATCACTCCATGATTTTTTTACTTCACAGTTTTTTTTTATTAATCTCCACGTTTCTGGCACATATACCACAGCAGGTAGCAGGCAGCCCGCCTTGGTGAAATCTCAGTGTCCCCTCAGTGAATGCCAAGTAAATTATAATATCACAAGTATATTTATGTGATTTGAAGCTTTCGTGACTGCAGGAATCCATACTCTTTGGTTCTTTCGGTAAAGTCACATAGGTATAAAATAAAATAAATCACGACGTTTCGGGCGCAACACAAGCGTCCATCACCTGATGACCTACGTGACTTTACCGAAAGAACCAAAGAGTATATATTTATGTGGCGTAGTAAATATTGTACTGCACTATAAGCCCGGAGTTCTGAGTTCAGTTCCCAACCAAGGCTAACATCAAGAGCGAGCGTTATCTGAACCTTCCTGGGCTCCCGACCATTCACCAACCCACCAGAGCCAAGTGTGGTGAAGTATGGTCAAACAACACCATAATCGACACGGCAGCGAGAGACATTGATCCAGCAGTGGATTGACAAGAGGCTGAAAACTAAAGAGCTGTAAATGAGTACAACTATCTGCCAATTTACGTTTCTAACCCAGGTACCCCTTTAAAACTATGGACTTTTACGTTCAGTGTGCTCTGACCTGGAGTTAAACATGGGGTCGAGTGAGTGGATGATGGGGTTTTTTAACAGAACAGTTGCACAGTAATAAACTTTAGTGATAACCACGAATGAAATATCCCACCCATGTTTTAAAAACTCCTTGCCTCCCGCATACCACAAGTAACACTATTTAACACAATTTTTGTTCCTGGGTAGTAAGTGTTATTTCGTAATTTCTCATGCCTCAGAAGTATAGAGAATGGCTATTATTCCCCACAAACTTCGCTTTTGTGACCAGGACAGTGATATTTAGAAATGTACCTATTTTCAATGAGAAAACGGGCGAATTTGTGTCTTGTTGTTCACATAAAGTCAGAAAAAAACAACGTATGAATCAAAATTAACATATATTTATACTAAAGTAATACAAAAAAAGTGTTTTCTGTACTTTTGAGGCATAAGCAATTAGGAAATAACACTTACTACCCAGGAACAAAACATATATATTTGTTACAGTGTAATCACAAGTCATTGTGGAGAATGTTAAGGACTAAACAATTAATGCCCCCTACCCATATTTGTCTCTCAACATAAAAAATAAAAGTTATTTTTACACATAACCCATCAAGCTCCGCTGCCTTCTGGAAGTGAAAATGAACAGCAGCATTGGGGTTGAACACAAGCAAATTCTGGACCGGTATCACTAACATGCAGTGTCTCATCAGCAGCCCGGCTTGCTTAAACTAATACGGGGGGACTGCGCGTTGTTTTGTAGCAAGATACAAGCGACATTGGTTACTTGCGACGGGCAGGAAGGTTATCTCGGTTGCAGCTAAATTGCACGTTAGCCCAACAATGTCATTAGAATTGGACCAAAGGTTTATTATAAACAACATTATTTTTTGCCAATTCCGTGAAGCTAATTATGCAGATAAGGAATTTACAGAACATTTAATCAACGTCCTGAGAAACCTGAACAAACACTATTTCAAGCCTTGGTGGCGAACGGCAGACGGTACGGTTTATTCAAGATAATGTTCTGGGCTACACCCTGCGAGTAGAATTTTAAAAGCCCTCAGGCCAGATCGGTCTGCCGGATCTAAATGGAATCTGCAACTGACCCGTGGTATCGCTGAGCGGATGATGTTTATAATAAACAGCACTTGTGCATTTCGCAAAGTACTTTTCGAGTGGCGGTTTTTGGCAAAAGTGGCCACAAAGATAACGACAAAGGCAAAACGACGACGCTATAACCCGCGTAAATCTACAAGAAATCTACGATAACCCGTGTACATCTACGAGAAATCAAATCATCATAAGCTCCTTGGATGAGCTGAGCCTTCCAACGATTTACCGAGCCGCTCCGGGCATTCGAGGCACTCCGCGAACGATTTAAAATGACGCGCTATGCATTTTGCACGGTCACCTTGCTGATCCTACTTAACCTTGCCGAGCAATTAAATACGGCTCTGGTCTCGCAAATACGGCGGTTATTGGCAAAAACGATCTCAATAACGGTGCGCACGCAGCTAACGCGGCACGCAATACGACCCGAGGTTGTAACAAAGCAATTCGTCGTTCAAGAGAAGATCGCCACGTTGACGTGAATTTTAAATTTAAAACAAAACACGGACGAGGCAGGCGCACGAGTGCACGACGCACGTCGCGAGAAACGCGTGACGATGCAGAGCAGATGGGCGTCGCGCGTTTGCAGTGTTACTCTCGGCGTCACTCTCCACATCATTACCATCCACTCACTTAGAGCCATCGCCCGTTATTGCGTTAATATTCCCTTTAGCGAGCACTTCCTAAAGTAATGGACTTGCCTTCGCTCACGGAGAGCAGCTATCGCACGAACGGCAATAGGAGGACGCTTCGCATGAATCATCGGCGTCAACCAGCGCCACGATATCAACGGGCGGCGTGATAATAACATTCAAAAGTTTAAAAAAAAATTTGCCCCTGAGAATATATTATAATAATCATCATCATATTGCCCTCTCATGTCCACCATGTGGCCCTCACGAGATCGGGTGATGAGTAAATCCACACAGCGCCTCGGGTCGCATTCAGATAGTAGGGGTCAATTAGGGTTCAAGTCCAGCGTGGTAACCATTACACCATGGCAGCTTCCCCAGGAGCGGGGGGTGGGGGAACACAATTATCTTAAAATATTTAAAACTTGTGTGTCGAGATGTACCACTGGCACGGGCAGAATCCACCAAAGCATTCGTCTTCATATTACTCCCTCTGCTGCCTGGCACAGTTTGGCTCGCCGTGGAGCATCCTTTGCGTCGGGCAACGCCACCTGTAATTTATTGAGCCCGGGGCTAATTGCCGGTAAATTATTGGACAAATGGGAGAGTAATGATGCTAGCGCATGGGCCCGTTGCATTAATTTGTGTCCAGACGTCAATGCGCAAGCCACGATTACTGCCACCGATAATAAATTGACCTCCCTGCCACGGGTGGAACTATAACAGAGACGGGGCTCATTGGGCGCAGGACCCACTCGCACATGGCCTTCCCACACAAGCTGTGTGTGTGTGGGGGTGGTGTGTGAGGATGTGAGGGTGGGACACCGTTAGAAAGCGCAAACGGAGACAAATAGCCTTTGGCGGGCAAAGCCACACGAAGGATATTCGCACGACTGTGCCCGCATTTGCAAAAACATCGGTCCTTCCACCTTCAAGGAAGCGGCAATCTTATTCATACCCTGGCCTGTGTCCTGGCAAGATGAATTACTATTCTGAGAATTCAGTAGGGGGAATGGGAGATGCTTAAGCCTTGGTGAGGCAGGCTACAAGACAATTACTGAACGCAGCCGACTGGAATGGAGACTGCAATGGGGCTTATACAGCTCATGGTTGCTGAGGCTACACGATGCAAACTGCGAGACATGTATTTTATAATGGGATGTGTTTACTTTCGGATGCAGTTATTATTTAGTTATTCTGAACCGATACGAGTATTTTCCGTTTATGTTCATGGTTTCACCACACGTGTAAAACGCGTATTTTGTTAATGAATTATAATAAATTTCAGCCCTTTGTAAATCCACGGATTAATGGTCTCCCTTTATCCATTATGGTTGTGTGGTTTTATTTTATCATACCTCACCACAACGGTAAATTAAAACATATCCCAAAGTGCATCTGCCATCGGCGACGTGAAGCCGTGGAGGGCGCGATGGCTCTTCGGCAGCAGACCACGTGCTCACCAGGCTCCTTCCACTGGCTCTCGTGAGGCTTCACACGAACGCATGCATGTGGCCGGTTGACTCCCTCTGCCATTTGAAGGTGAAAGGACGCGGGCTGGTCAAGCGCAGGGCCCAGAGCCGGTTCAGAAACCAACTTCCCACTGATGTCAGCAATGGTCAGGAATCAAACTCGCGTCAACCAGTCTTACGTGCAGTGCGCAAATTACTTCGCCTCTGGTCGTCTACCCCATGTACTAATTTACCAATTGCAAATTAATTGAAAACATGAAGCATTTAAACTTCAAAGTGTGACTAAAATCAATAATACGAGAGCTTCACAGTGTACACGTCACCAGTGTACACAGAATCGGGTGGTGGTGGATATGCACGTGGCCTCTAGTGCAGCACGGTGGAGTGTGAAGCCTTCTTACCTGGCTCACCAGAAGACAATACAGCAAGTGGACAAAATGCCATCCGTTTCCATCTGTAAGGGGATTGAGTGTTGCCCCCTTGCACACGTGGGTTTTCTCTGGATGCTCTGGTTTCCTCTCACACGTATGAACACTCATCATTAAATGGCTGAAAACATTTAAAATAGAAGTCCAATGCAGATCCTTCCTGAAAAAAGGAGTCATATGACTCAGTGTGGCTTTTCTGTAAAATCACAAGCACTCACTTTACGAGCAAAGCGATCACGCTCGCGATCGCCAGCGCTTCGCCAACGTTCACGACGGAGTTGAGCCGAGTGAACCCGCGACAAGGGCGACAAACGCAACGCTGGGCAATGGAGGGGCGAGGTTCACCACGCACGAAACGGACTCGACTTTGTTTACAAATACAGATTTATTTAATGCTCCACAAAATGAATTGCAAAAGAAAAAAAAAGGGATCAGCTTTCGGCATGTCAGCTCTCTCTCGTCGTTACTTTAAACTGGCCTTGCAAACAGGTGACAATAAATACTGTACGTGCGAGGCCTCCGTATGTGCGCATCTTTACGCGGGGTCTGCTGCCCAGAGTCTTTGGCTTGGCCTGCACGGTCCCCCGGGGCGCTCCGAGAGGCGCCACGGCGCCGTCCTCGAAGCTCTCGGCGTTGGGCACTGCGCCGAGCGTGCGCGCGGGCGGGCGCTTGCCAGTGATGCAAATGAACGTGGAGTCTTGCGATCCCTGTACCTGTCTGCCGTGCGCTACCGTCATCGTTGCCCCGCTCCACTGGGGAGACGCTGGACTGCGCCGCGATCGTTGGCGTCCGTCGCGTGCAGCCGCTTCCGATCTTGCGCCGTCGTGTTGGCCGGCGCCGTCTTCAAGATCGCAAGCAAACCCACGAACGCCACAACCGCGGTTCCGCACGGAAACGCCGCGCGTGCGTTCACAGTCGTAAACTCGCACGCAAACTGCGCGCGCAAGGAACATTCTCATATTCAAAGGTCAAACCCCAGGGCTGATCAAAAGCACTAAAAATAGGAGGCCCCACAAAGGGCCGCACAACTCGGCAATTAAACAAGCTTCCTTTGGGCCAACGCGGTGTGTTTGGGCAACGCAGCACTGATGCATAAAGGTTGGAATTGGACTATTTATACTCTTTGGTTCTTTCGGTAAAGTCACGTAGGTAGAAATAAAATAAAATAAATCACGACGTTTCGATCGCAACACAAGCAATCCTCATCAGGCGTTCCACCTGATGAGGATTGCTTGTGTACTTCTACCCACGTGACTTTACCGAAAGAAACAAAGAGTATGGATTCCTGCAGTCACGAAAGCTTCAAATCAAGATTGTACTATTTACTTTGATATATAAATAAATCCAGCAAATTATCTAAAGACCTGTGGTGTTTGGTGTAAGCGTACCAAACATCTGTTAAAACCACAGTTTGAACAAATGGAGGGCTGGTAGGAAGTGGGAAAAAATTGTCAGTGAGTAAATTCCAGGGCCATCAAGAGGGGGAGGCAGGGGGGCGAAAGGGAATACTTTATCCAGGCCTCACGTAATAGAAGGCCCCACAACCGGCCCGTGGATGGTGGAACGAGGGCCTCCAGGGACCTCTCGGCGGCCCTGGTGAAGGTCCCCTGAAAGCTCGGTCTCTACGAGACAGAGGCAATGGCAGTGTGTGTGCTCACCCCCCCATCACACAAGCCATTGTGTCCGTGGACTTGAACACGAGTTCGTTCGAGGTGCAGAGAAGATCGCAACTCGCACTCTGTAACCGTTTTCGAAGCAACATAGGACGTGCATGTGCTTCACAGACGCCTTGCAATAACACACGAGGCTGACTTCACGTTGCCCGATTTGACATTAACGCAGAAGAGGATCGGGCCCATCGACGAACGGGTGAGCCAGCGAGCTGCTGCCCTGGTATCGAACAGCACTGCGAGCGAATAATGAGAGCTTGGATTAGTAAGCGTCCACAGCATCTGAAAGGTGGCACGACTTAGTATCGTCACGACCCGTTTGCACTTCGCAGCAGACCGTTTGAGCGACGGCATTCTGACGCAGTTCTTCAAACTGTCATTTTTTTGTTTTGTCGCTCGCTCCACGTGGGCCGGGAAACGGCGAGCACCGACACGTTCGGTGCCGTAGCACCGTCACGCGAGCGGGCGGACGTACCCCGCGCACCTCGGCCGTTGCAACAGCGGCCGACGCGAACCACCCCCCCGCCCCGACTCGTCGGTGATCCGCGTAGAGGCCTGCTGCCCCCCTCCCCCCCTCTCGCATTGTGGCGGCCGTGACGCGGGACGGGACGGCGGCACGCACGACCGGCCGGCCTCAACCGCGGGGCCGGCCGCTACGGGCTCGAGCGTGGGGTTCAGCGGCGGCGGCGCTCGCTCGGCTCGCAGACCCACGGGCACCACAATCATCTCACGACTTGACACTGTCAAGCAGCACTCCGTAGATTTAAAAAAATAAAAATATCCAGGCATCTTCTCACACCGAAGCTCGCCCCGTTATGTCTCAATCCACTCGAAAAATTCCGTTTTAGTTTATATCATCTGCAAGTATATTAACATTCAGCACTGCGTCTAGATAGCATTATTTAAATTACATTTCGCTGCATTGTTTCTTTCAACGTAAGGATTCGAAATTCAAAATAATTAAGTCGCTCGGTGTACGCGTGGAGGTCTAAAAGACTTGGCAACCAAAGTCAAGGAAAATAAAATCTTACGGTACAAAAACACGACCAACTCAAATCACAACTGCCAAGCAAATATACGGGGAAAAAACCCCACTTTATCCCCCCACTGCATATTAAACGCCTATGCCTCAAACAACGTCAATATACGCAACAGTTAGTGCAAATGTATAAAAACGGACAGTTAAATTCCAAAGGGCAAGGTGATGATGCAGGGAGGGGTTGGGGCACCGACAGAAGCGGCAGCGAGGGAGCGAGCAGCTGAGCTCCCGGCAGCCACTCTCGTGGTGCAGTGCCGAGAGAGCGAGGAGACGCCGCTCATCGACGTCTCTCTTCCCCTCCCTCCTTCCCTCCCCGCCCGCTCCTTCCATCTTCACTCTTCACCCTCAGTCTCTCCCCTCTCCCGTCTCGCCTGGCTCTCAAGTTCTCCGGCTGTCTGCGGACCACCCCACCCCTCCTCTACCGCCCGCTTCTCCTCCTCATAACCTCTGCGCTCCGCCGGCTCTCCTTTGCTCAGAGTCTTACTCGCTCGCGCTCCATCTCAAATCCCCGCTCCGCGCCGCTTTCCATTCACCCCTGACCCCTCACTCGAGCTGCACCACCCTCCCCCAGCCCACCGCCTCGCTCCACTCCCCCCCCCCACGCTGGAGACCCGGGGACCGCGTGGGAGTGCGACAGGGTCCCCTTGGCTGTGCTGGACGGGGACACGGGTGGCTGCAGAGAGACAGCGAGTCTCCACTCTACGGCTGGAACTGGCTCAGGAACTCCAGCGCCGTGTCGTAGCAGAAGCGGTATTGCTCCTGTGGACAGAGGAACAACAGCAGCACGCATCAGACGCCTGCAAGGCGGCAACCTCGAGTCTCGCACATAGCGGATGTTCCTGATCAGTGGTCCGCTGGTTGGATTCCATCGACTGTCACGGTGGTCTTAAAACAATTATGGGGCAAGTTTCTTTAATCTCCCCACCTCTGTCCACCGAGCGGTATAAATGGGCACACCACGGTGAGTTTGTGACCCATGGGGTTGTATGTAGTGAAGTCAAGTGTGGGTACTCCCACCTCTTCCAGCACGTGTGATCAGCGTGGAGGAGTAGAGAAAATACCCTCTAAAGCTCCATTTAGTGGAGGCTCTTCCACCAGCAGTGGTGTGAGTGAGCAATTGCAGGGCTGCGCCTTTGTTCTTACCCTCTCAATGGGGCTGCTATGATAGACTGGACTCATTATTCAAATATAGGTTGCAAAATCAAAATCTGAATATTTATTTATACTGGAGGAATCCCGTGAGCTACAGAACTCTTTTTCACGGATGTCCAGTAAACATGGCCGGTGTCCGTGTGGAGCATTTCTTCCGTCAACTTTTCACCACGTACTTACTAAAGACATCCTCAGCAGTTGAATCGACAGAGGAAATGCCCAACACACAGTCCAATAAAGAAAACCACAACTCGTATTGCAAGTGCCTGCAAAAAAAAATAGCGTGAAATTCCTTGCTTGCCTCAAAACAAATTATACATCATGAGTCAGGCATCTTATAGTCCTACACCCCATTTCCACTGTACAGCCGAGCCATGCCGGGGCCGTACCGAGTCAGCTCGGCTCGGCACGCGGCTCAAGAGGTGCCGGGTTGGTTTTCCACTGCAAAAGCCGAGCCGTGACACTGGGTGAGTCGGGGCACATGCAGGTGACCATGATGGCGCGGTGCCCTCAAAGTGTGCCGACTGACACCAACGTGTGGACCAAAACAATGAATTACTGGCCCTGGTCCTGCTTGGCCCGAGCCAGACTCAGACATCTTGCGAGGCCGACGTTATGGTTTGGATCCGGCTCGGTTCAGCAGTGGAAAACCACTCGTACCGACAAGCCACTGTGCAGATTCGGCTCCGGTGTGCGTGTGGATAAAGAGGTGATGTCAGTCTGTTACCCTATTTAAATAAAGGAGTGACCAACCCACACACACGGCGCAGCAAGAAGCACTTTTCTGAGCCAATTGTGAGCATCGCACCCCACACTGTCACTCGCTTAAAGCACAACGGAGGCTTTCGGCCTCGATTACGGCTGTCAAGACGTCGTCCAGCTGAGAAACTGAAATTAGACACAAGCTTAAGCGTTTCCATTACTTTTACCCTTAACATCAATACACTCTATTGACATCATTAATACGTAAATGAGAAGCTTCAAACTAAGCCCAATAATAACTTGGTGTGGCTTTTGACTTCTATGTAAATATGTTTTCACAAATACATTATTTTGGCCTCCTTTTGTAGACAAGAAATTGACCCGGATTACAGTCCAATTTGATTTCAAATGCTCCTGCGATTGCCACCCGTTCCACATGCAAAGGAGCACACGCGTGTCAACGGGTTCTTATCAGTTTATAAATAAAGGAGCTGATTGACCGATTTAATTTGATTCCTGTTTATTGTCCTTAAGCCACCGGCATCACCGGCATCGATCGGCCTCTCGTAAACCGCGGCGGCCGTCGCGTCTCACGCCTGCACGTAAACAAGCCGGCAGCCATCCAGCAGTGGAGAAGAGCCGTGTCCTCTGCCACCGCCAGAGTCAGGCCTGTGCAGGCCGGAGCCGTTTCTCGCAGTGTCGCAATGCGACAATCTCCCCTGGCTCCCGCTCGGTCGCTCCACCTCCACGGCAGAAGTGCCCTCGGTCACACGTTGCCCTGCCCAAGCCCGCTCACGTTCATCAACTCAATGCGATCTGTTGTTTAATGTGGCGCGGTGCAAACCGTCAGGTATATCACCGATGACTGCCCCAACACAGCACGTGTACTCTAGTGGAACAAGCGGACTCCACTCAGCTACCACCTCGGATGCCGTGGAGTCGCTTACAATATTAACAATACAATTGTAGCCTGCTGCTTTTTTCAAATGCTATTCAAACAAAGAAGTAAACGTGATGCCCCTAACCGGCATGTGCTCTCTAAGTCATGGACCTCTTCCTGTCTCTTTGTGCGATTTCAAGCATGCACTTCTCTCCCCATGCATTTTTGCAACATTTTCAGCTTAAGTGTTTTTTTATGCACCACTGTTTTGCCAATGTCAATATTTATCACCCACATGCCAAAGCAGGTAATAGGTAATAGACGGTGACTGAATATCTGCAATTGTGCCATAAACACCAAGAGCCAGATTGTCACACGGGTGAGAGAATGAGTGTCAGAAATTTGGAAAAGCCGAGGGTGGCAGATGGAAGGTAGCGATGGCGTGGTGCATTGTCATCAAAGGCTCTGGCCACAATGACCCCTCGAGCTTCAATTATTTCAACCATTTGCCAGATGGGGCGGTGGTGTTTAATCCGTTCCTGGTGGTGTCTTTGTTCCGTAACTGCCACGCTGAGATAGCCACTCAGCTCAGAATTTCACCCATGTACACTTTGAAGTAGCCGGCATGGCAGGTTTGTGACAATGCATCTGTTAATATCATCATTCAGTGCCACTGCCCTTGTGTCCACAGTCCACAATTCTTTTGCCAATTTGCGTTTGAAGGTCACCTACTTAAATAGCCTTCACACACACACCAGTGCTTGCCACACTGCAAGGTCGCCAGGAGGTTACGGCAGATGAACGGACTATTGAGTCTGTCTGTGTGGAACTTTGAGTGTTATCACCTCGTATGTGTGGGTTTTCTGTCCGTGTGGAACTTTGAGTGTTATCACCTCGTATGTGTGGGTTTTCTGTCTGTGTGGAACTTTGAGTGTTATCACCTCGTATGTGTGGGTTTTCTGTCTGTGTGGAACTTTGAGTGTTATCACCTCGTATGTGTGGGTTTTCTGTCTGTGTGGGTTTTCTGTCTGTGTGGGTTTTCTCCAGGCACTCTGGGGGCTTATGCTTTTTTGACCGTAAAAAAAAAAGTAAGCGGGCTTGGTCAGGCAGGAGATGTCACTCGATGGGACGATGGCCGGTGGTCAACACAAACAACAGATTGGCAGCCAAAGGAGGGAACGCACCCAAATGACGATCGCTGTGGAGATGAAGCAATAGCATCGGCTCGTGCGCAGGTGCTGGATGAGATTGGGACATCGCCAGACTGAGACGGTGACAGCTTCTGGGAGACATTCATCCAGCAGTGATGATGATCACTCAAATATTGCCGCAAATGAATCCAAACACCCGTTAAGTCTCGAGACTCGGTAAGGCTTTCCTGTAGAGGAAAGGGCATTAATTCACCTGGCCTCTGTTGGTTCCCACTCTCAAACTGGCTACACACTGGGAGTGATACGTTTCATTGGGTGTGATATTCATTTTACAAATGCATATACCGCATATATGTTTGTGTACACGTGTCATTGCGTGTTTGCCACGCATGTGTTAATGACACCCTGGACGCAGTTGCAAACGGGAAGTTCCATTATGAGGGATTTTGCAAGGGTGAAATATTTGGAATAAAAAGCCGAACGGTCCCGAAGGCGCGGCGAGCGGCGCGGTGTACGGCGAGCCGGGTCGGGGGTGGCTTGAACGTCTATCTCCGACCCCGCATTTGTGGAGGTGCCATCGCTACCACCTCCTCCTGTCTCTCTGGAGAGCCCAGCAAGATCTCCTCCTGCCTCTCTGGAGAGCCCAGCAAGATCTCCTCTCTGGAGAGCCCAGCAAGATCTCCTCCTGCCTCTCTGGAGAGCCCAGCAAGATCTCCTCTCTGGAGAGTCCAGCAAGATCTCCTCCTGCCTCTCTGGAGAGCCCAGCAAGATCTCCTCCTGTCTCTCTGGAGAGCCCAGCAAGATCTCCTCCTGCCTCTCTGAAGAGCCCAGCAAGATCTCCTCTCTGGAGAGTCCAGCAAGATCTCCTCCTGCCTCTCTGGAGAGCCCAGCAAGATCTCCTCTCTGGAGAGCCCAGCAAGCTCTCCTCCTGCCTCTCTGGAGAGCCCAGCAAGATCTCCTCTCTGGAGAGCCCAGCAAGATCTCCTCCTGCCTCTCTGAAGAGCCCAGCAAGATCTCCTCCTGCCTCTCTGAAGAGCCCAGCAAGATCTCCTCTCTGGAGAGCCCAGCGAGATCTCCTTCTGCCTCTCTGGAGAGCCCAGCAATATCTCCTCTCTGGAGAGCCCAGCAAGATCTCCTCTCTGGAGAGCCCAGCAAGATCTCCTCCTGCCTCTCTGGAGAGCCCAGCAAGATCTCCTCCTGCCTCTCTGGAGAGCCCAGCAAGATCTCCTCCTGCCTTTCTGAAGAGCCCAGCAAGATCTCCTCCTGCCTCTCTGAAGAGCCCAGCAAGATCTCCTTCTGCCTCTCTGGAGAGCCCAGCAAGATCTCCTTCTGCCTCTCTGGAGAGCCCAGCAAGCTCTCTTCTCTGAAGAGCCCAGCAAGCTCTCCTCCTGCCTCTCTGGAGAGCCCAGCAAGATCTTCTCTATGGAGAGCCCAGCAAGATCTCCTCCTGCCTCTCTGAAGAGCCCAGCAAAATCTCCTCCTGCCTCTCTGAAGAGCCCAGCAAGATCTCATCTCTGGAGAGCCCAGCAAGATCTCCTCTCTGGAGAGCCCAGCAAGATCTCTTCCTGTCTCTCTGGAGAGCCCAGCAAGATCTCCTCCTGCCTCTCTGGAGAGCCCAGCAAGATCTCCTCCTGCCTCTCTGGAGAGCCCAGCAAGATCTCCTCCTGCCTTTCTGAAGAGCCCAGCAAGATCTCCTCCTGCCTCTCTGAAGAGCCCAGCAAGATCTCCTTCTGCCTCTCTGGAGAGCCCAGCAAGATCTCCTTCTGCCTCTCTGGAGAGCCCAGCAAGCTCTCTTCTCTGAAGAGCCCAGCAAGCTCTCCTCCTGCCTCTCTGGAGAGCCCAGCAAGATCTTCTCTATGGAGAGCCCAGCAAGATCTCCTCCTGCCTCTCTGAAGAGCCCAGCAAAATCTCCTCCTGCCTCTCTGAAGAGCCCAGCAAGATTTCATCTCTGGAGAGCCCAGCAAGATCTCCTCTCTGGAGAGCCCAGCAAGATCTCCTCCTGCCTCTCTGGAGAGCCCAGCAAGATCTCCTCCTGCCTCTCTGGAGAGCCCAGCAAGATCTCCTCCTGCCTCTCTGGAGAGCCCAGCAAGATCTCCTCCTGCCTCTCTGGAGAGCCCAGCAAGATCTCCTTCTGCCTCTCTGGAGAGCCCAGCAAGATCTCCTCCTGTCTCTCTGGAGAGCCCAGCAAGATCTCCTCCTGTCTCTCTGGAGAGCCCAGCAAGATCTCCTCTCTGGAGAGCCCAGCAAAATCTCCTCTCTGAAGAGCCCAGCAAGATCTCCTCCTGCCTCTCTGGAGAGCCCAGCAAGATCTCCTCTCTGGAGAGCCCAGCAAGATCTCCTTCTGCCTCTCTGGAGAGCCCAGCAAGATCTCCTCTCTGAAGAGCCCAGCAAGATCTACTTCTGCCTCTCTGGAGAGCCCAGCAAGATCTCCTTCTGCCTCTCCTGCGCTTATTTTTTTTTGGGGGGGGGGGTTCTGCAGAGATCATAGCCAAAGCAGCCGCAAAATTATCGTCCTCTAGAGATAGCCCGCTGACCCACTTACATCGTCTGTTGCCCGCGGCTGTCTTCATTACCCGGCTGACTATCGATGCCAATGGCACGGTGACAATGCAGAGCTCCCAGCACATCCCCTTGCTACTGGTGGCACAGCTCATCCATCATAACCCCCTCCATCACCACATGGAACTCAGACCTCCGTGTGTGTGTGCGTGCGTGCGGTTGCGTTGGTTACTGTGGGGAGCGCTAGCGAGGTAGTTAGTGCAGTGGGCTACCAATACGGCAGCCGACATTTGATTCCCAGCCACGGCTATGAACTTCTTTTGCGCCGTACATAGCCAACCATGCTAATCGGAGGTGCGGGGGAAGGACAACAAACTAAACACAAACAGCAGTTCTAACATCAGTGGTGATTTTCTGAGCCCTCCGCGGCTTCAACCTTAAGCTGACTCAGCCTTAAATCAGTACCTGGTGCGATGTGTAAACATCAGCACTCGGGAGACAGAGTTGGCCGGAAGTGCTGGTGACCACACCACCCTTGCATCCACCGTGAATACGATAATAGGTGCTCGCTGCAGCACTTGACCCAACACTCTGTGTAGCCTACTTGGAGATTCTTTGTCTTTGTGGTTATTAGACAACGTATTACAGGCTTATTGGAGAAGCTGCAGCGTGTGCCCCTACCCTACAAGGCACTTAATACGTCAGAGCCGCTGGCACACACACACACGTGCTCTTTATCTGTGCCGCGTGATGCACTCCACCAGCGTCTTTGCCCCACAGCAACATCATTTTTAGCCAAGCGATTAGCGCGTGTCTGTTCCGCTCGCTGAGCACCTCCACGAAAGCTTGAATTTGATTTCACACGGAGCCCCCTCGAATTTGTAACGGCGGTGCAGATGGGTTTTTATTATTCTCATTATTATCATCATCATCATGGCTCTTGAACACAGGCCCAAAGGTGGTCAGCAGCATTCAACGCAGATGAGGGGATAATCGACCACAGTTTAGATGTTGCAATCGAGATTTATTCATAAATCTCACAGCAGCGCAACACCTCGTGTTATAAAACGGCCCACAGAAGTGGCTATCACAGAGCGAACTCCAGATCCCTTCTGGTCCACACAGCACAGCATAGCACTTTTCCACCCATTATGCATGAGAGTAATGTTCATTGCATGACAGTCACCTATATGTAATTCCCAGAGGTGGAATTTCACCAAATTAAGTGCAAAACCAAATTTAATGGGGTGGGGTTTATTGCGCAGTGACTAGGCTGTGGCCACCAAATCGCGGCGCATGAGAAGCCGGTTTCACTTACAGGCCGCCAAAACTGGGATTCGAACCCTAGTATCGGCCCAGCAGCCGTCGCCCCTCACCCCGCGACCATGGCCGCTGGGTGGCTCCGTGTTCGCCCGCCCGCCACTCACCAGTGTCTCCACCATGTTGGGCTTGTTGTTGCGGAGCGTCTTGACGGCCGTGAACACGTCGGCCACGCTCTGACCCTTCACCATGTCGCACAGGATGCTGACGGCGCAGTACGTGCCGCTCTGACCGCCGCCGTTCCTGCCAACGCCGAGCCACGCACGCCAGGGCCACAGTCACTCTCCGTCCGCCAAAAGTCACGACGATCATTCGTATCCCCTCCCCTGGTCCTCTCGCCTCGGTCCACCCAGATGCTTCCGACTGCCGGACGGCAGCACGGAAGCCTACGAGCCGGGCTCTTGCGGGGCTCACGGACCGATGAGCTTGACGTCACGGCCAACCGAACCGCAATGTGGTCTGCCCCAGAGGCGATTTGCGCCACAGGGAATTTACGTTTGGGCAATATATTTCACGCGTCCTGTGATACTCCCATTTTTGGACCGATTGTTTTTTTAGTTGTTTGGCTTTTACCATTGTGGTAACCCGGGTCACTTTTGCCAATGAGACTCCTCTATCCTGGTCCTCTTGAGTTATCTCCCTGGTTACACAAAATCAACTTGAAACTGGAACCTATGGCTACACACAAACCCTCAATAAGACAGCATGCTTGTTTATGAAAGTCTATTCTCCAAGAGGTGAATGTTTATACATGTCATATTCTTTGGGTCTTTTGGTAAAGTCACGTCGATAGGTTAAAAGAAAATAACCAAAAACTACGACGTTTCGATCGCAACACAAACGCCCGTGTTGCGATCGAGATGCCGTAGTTTCCTGCAGTCACGAAAGCTTCAAGTCAAGACGTATATACGTCACCTGACATGCAAGGCATAATGGGAGAAACAATCCAATGGTCACGATCTCCTGTCGCTGTCTATAAACGACCTTGTGTGTAATATTACTCTTGCTCATGTCTCCAGCCTGCACACATTCCGCTCTGCTGAGTTTCGAGTCGATGTCATCACGAACGTTCCGTTCCCGCTCACGACTCACATTTATCCATCACTGCAAGCACGCAAGCCGCACCAATCAGGTGCGAGATGGATAGATTGTAGAAGTTTACAACAACGACATATATTGAATTTTAGCAAACCCATTCACTTCCGCCCAGAGTTGAATTTCAACCGGTACTGCCCAGGTCGGCAACCTGGAAAATATTTCTGAACCTGGCACACAACATCCAATATACCTCTTTCGCTACTGTTGGGGCTCCTAGTCACGTGCCTACCTACTCCGTTCTGCCAGTGACCTTGAAACTATTCGGTGAGAAATTAATCCCTGCTGCTGTCACTGCAAGGACCTCTCATAGCGACAGAACTGGGGTAAAGCGTGCGTGGACGTGTCGCTGCCCGCCATCGGGATTCCCACTCGGCAAGTAACCCGTTCTCCGGGCCTGCCCGAGGCAGCCTGAGGCTCCGTAATGCAGAGACGATGTGACATCGCCATCTCATCTGCCCCGCGAACGCACTCGTGCAGCGAGCTGCAGTTGCTATCTCGATGAGGTGCACAAAAAAACCCGGGACGCATCATGCAATTGAAGAATGTCTCCCAATATCAGACGTGGGGAGAATGGTGTGTAAGTGTGTCGCCTTGAACGGTGTTTTATCACGCAACCGACTGAAAACCGAGACTTTGAACGGTCTGGGGAAGGCTTGCAGATTTCCCAGCACAGCAGCAGCCACCTCAGCAGTGACCCCTCCGCGACAGGCAGTGAAAGGAACGCAGGCGAATTGTGAGTCACTGCGTCCTCGGTGCTGGTGCCACGACACGGGCTCTTCCCGGTCGGCCAAGAGGGGGACGCTGGGTACTCAAGCGCGGAGCCTCGGAGATAGCGACCGTTTACAACGACAACAAAAATGTTCCCGGTCGATGATGGACGGCGAGGCGCGCCTGACAGGGCGCCGTGCTCACCCTCGCCTGATTGACATGGGAATGAATTATGCAAAATATAAAGGCCGAGCGAGCTTTTCATCAGCTCTCATAAATATTTCGAGAACATATAAATGTTGCACGCACACTTTATGCTCATAACTGTCCGCATTACAGCGATGTATCAAGCGTCGTCTGTTTCGCAGCTTTTGCTTACGCCTGCGCATGTACGTATAGAGGTCTGGCCTCGACATAAATGGAGTGCCGGGTCAACAAAGAATGTGGAAGCTTCTTCTTTGGTTCTTTCGGTAAAGTCACGTAGAATGAGAATAAAATAATAAAATAAAACGATAAAATTCTCACGACGTTTTGGCCACAACACAAGTGGCCTTCTTCATTCTACGTCACTTTACTGAAAGAACCAAAGAGATGAATCCTTGCAGTCACGAAAGCTTTAAATCTAAATGTGGAAGCTCTTGGAAGCAATCCACGGTAATGACCCTGTCGCTTGGTGTCACTCGTCAGCCGTGACTCGTTTGTTACGCGCGGTTTACGACGCATTCACAAATTTGGGGAAAAAAATCTGTAAAGTTTCCCTGCACGTGTAAACATTCAACGCCGCTCACAGCTCTGTGAGATTTGGCAACCACTCTCAGTGCCCAGCCCCTCTGGTCACTGGCATGCGGGCAGCGAGCAACCGCTTACACAGGAGGAGGCTTGCCACCTGTTTCAGGATCGCCCTCTCTTTCAGGTAGCTGTCCTGGGAAAGCCGTAAGTCTTCTCGGAAAACTTAGATACTTTTTTTGTCAGTTCTATTAAAAAAATCCACCACTCAGGAAAAGCCATTTACCTGTAGATCTCGCCTGCTCAGATACTGGCAGATTGTTCTTCTTGTCCGTGACATGAGTTTTTTTCTAACTCAGCAGTTTCCATAATTGAGGACCAGACAGGCCTCTCTCAAGCACCACAAGTGAGCAGCAGGGCCGGCTCCAGCTCCTCTCGGTACATTAATTCACCGCTAGGGACAGTGGACAGTTGGGTCAAAAGGGACATTCGGTGGTGCAGGGCCTGGCCCAGCAGCCTGGCGCGCCACCACGTGCGAATACACAATCTCAGTCTCGGCTGTCGCTGCAAACGGCCCTTACAGTGACAGAAGTGACCACGATACGTCTCGGGTTTCTTTGTACCACAGAGGTGGCAGCCACACTCGCGAGCGATAACGGGCACGACGAGCCCGTTGAGGCCCTCAAGCGCGAGCGGTCGCACCGCGGCTCGTTAACCCCATGGGGGGGGGGCGCGGCGCCGAGGGACCAACCCCAGCGCTGTGGATGAATCATCTTACTTGGGAGGAGTGGACCGGGGGGGGTGGGGGGGCAGCCTCCGTGGAACCAAGCGAGTGTCCCCCCCCTGCCCACGCGCCCGCTGCTTTAATAAACGTGGCTTTGCGGAGGCCGCGTGCAAATTGGTGAGAACGCGATGCTGTGCACACACGATTTAGATGCAAATTCTGATTGAAAACTTTTCCAGCTAAAGCGGCAGGCAGTGTCAGAGTCAAGTCACCGTCACACCGCCGCGATATTACACGTGAGATTAAAGGTGCCGCGAGACAGTTTAGAAGGGGGATTGCAATTCCCGTCGATGGTCGGGCCGGAGCTTGCTTTGCAACACAGCTGTTAACAACGAGTAGTAAATCTCACAAAATTATGTTTGCAAAGTGCGCAACTATTACATTACGCTGTGCCTGTGATTGTAATTATGGGATTAGATTTTCTGGAACATTTCAGACCGTGTCACTCTCGTGAGTGCGTGTGTGTGAGTTCGTACGTTTGAGCATACGTGCATCTTAAGCATGTGCGCGTGGGGCGGTGGCGTTGTGGTCAACGCGCTGCACCAGACACCCATGGGCTACCGTTGGTTGAGAATATCTGAACCGGTCCCGGGCATGCCCTAAGTCGAATCGGCCTTAAATAAGTGTTGTTAACATCAGCACTGGGGGTAAACAAAGGCAGCCACGCCAACCCCCCTTGTTGCCGTGCTGGCCTGCTTTGGTGGTCCCTACCGGCAACTTGGCCAACGGTCTGTTGAAGGCTACACGGGGGATCTTTATCTGTGTGTCTGTGTGTGAGTGTACATGTCAGTGTGCATGTGAGTGGCTGTATTTTTATGCGTTTCTAGGAATGTATGCGCATTTATATGTAACAAAGAATGCATGTGTGTGCGTGACTGAGAGTGCTTATGAATGTGTGTGTGGGGAGCGGTGGTGTAGCGGTTAGCGCTACGCTGCGCTACAAACCCGGCAACCAGAGTTCGATTCCCACTCACGGCCAACGCCAGTGGCGATTATCTGAACCGGTTCTGGACCTCCCCTAGGCCGACTCAGCCTCAAATGAGTACCTGGTGTGATGTGTAAACATCGCCACTAGGGAGACAAAGGCGGCCGGGCGTGGTGCTAGCCACCCACCCTCTCGTGTGCTTTTCCGGCCTTCATAGGTGCTCGTTAACCACACTTGTCCCAACAGTCTGTTAAGGCTATTAGGGGATTTTTGTCTTTGTGCCTACGTGAGTGTGTGTGTGTGAGCATCACTCGAGCCCAGAGCCCTCCATTCTACAGCAGCACCACAAACCGTGAGAACACGGCCCGAGAGTAGTTCAGAGCAGCCACCACCTCTCAGAGCCATCTGTCCGAGGTGGACATGGGAAAGTGCCGATAAACATCGTGTCGCTGCAGAAACCAGGGGTGGACTGCAAGGGATCCGAGTCGATTACGCTGGTTACACTGTCGCTTGAGTAGCTACCGGAGCATCGCTGGTATTGATCCACCCTTCCCCGTACTAATGGAGCTGGCGTGCGTGAGTGCATGAGCGCAGCACTGACGTGCCTGCAGATGGGTCTCGGCCACTGACACGCTCTGCACTTCTGCAAGCCAACGCAATCCTTAGTCGGTGCCTGGTGATGCAATTTTGTCATCGTCATCAACAAACGCCTTAAAGAAAATGCGGCCATGAAATGAAGTGCTGCGCATCCTCGCAATATTTATACGCAACGGTTCAACGGTTATTTAAAGCATGCTGACATGCCGTCCCCTATTAAGCTCAATGTATGGCAGAACAACAAAATCCTCTTGATTTTATCTCAGTGTGAACGACGGCTAATTGGAACGAGAAATCAGTCATTGCTCGTTGAGAACCGTTTGACTTTCAGCTTCGTAAAAAATCGGCACCAGAGGCGGAACAAGAACATCAAAGGGCTTCCTGTTGTGTTTTTGCCGTCGCATGCGGCCAAAAAGGATTCCATGCAGATCATGCAGAGCGAGCAGAGTGCGCGGAACAGAGTGGGGGCCGTGGATGAATGTAAACGGAACGCGCCTGAGTCGCTATTCTTCTCCTCGGTCAATCGTTCCCAATCGTGCGTGCGCTCAGCTTCTCAGATTTCTCTTCCTCCGCGAACTTCTTATGTTGTGTGCCACCCTCCAGCCCCCTCCACTACGCTCGCATCTCCTCCCATCCCAGCCTCGGTCTCGTCCCTCCGCTCCTCATGGACTACACCACCGGCACCCTCTTCTCGACATGCGCTATGAATATGTGTAAATGCACGTGTGCGCACGGTGTCCATACGCCTATGTTCACGGGTAGCAGGAGTGTAGTGGTGAGCGTACCGCGCCACAAACCTTGCAAACCCGAGTTCAATTACCGCTTGCGGCCAACATCGGTGATAAACATCCGAGATGGTTATGGGCCTCCCTTAGTTTGAAACAGCCTTAAAGGAGCACCGAGCACGGTGTGTGAACATTACGTCTGGGGAGACAAGAGCGGTCAGGCGAGCCGTCTTCATAAGGTGTTCACTAAAAGCACTTTCCCCAATGTGACACACGGGGGATCGGTGTCTTGAACCGTGTGTGCGGTGCGTATCCTCACAGGCAGTGCACGAGCGTGCGGCCCTCCTCCTCGGCCAGCTGGTCCTGCCAGGTCCCGACGCGGCCCACCAGGCGCAGGAAGGAGGCGGGCGAGGCGGGCACGTCGCGGTGCGACGGCCAGCCCAGGTACTGGAAGTGCTGCACCTCGCGATGCCCGTCCTGCGGCTGGGGCGACAGCGGAGACCGTTAGGCGACGGCCAACCCCAAAGCTCCCTGCGACGAGCGGGAAGGTCGTCTGACGAGGCAAGTGTCACAGTCGGCCGCGGTCAATCTACCGCCAGGTGAAGTCCAACAAAGAGACCGTTGGGGCGAGCGCCACCTATGAAGGCCGTGGTGCTGGGTGGCCAGCACCACGCACGGCCGCCTGTCCGGTTAAAAATGCTCTCTTTTTACAAGAACAGACGTTTTCACACATCGCACCAGGTACTCATTTGAGGCCGAGTCAACCTAGGGGAGGCCCACGACCGGTTCAGATAATCGTCACTGGTGTTGGCTGTGAGCGGGAATCGAACTCGGGTTGCCTGGTTCATAGCGCAGCGCGCTAACCACAACACCGCCGCTCCCCATAAGTCCAACATACATAGATACGTATGTTATGCTCGACCCATTTTAAAACGTTTCCCAACATAATACATTAACATTTGGATAATTACTCCAAACGAGGGAGTATATTGACCTCTATATAACAAGCAGTAATAATAATAATGCCAACGACATAACACTGTTTGCAGTTGTGCGCAAATCGTTTATTGCACACACACACACGCGCGTGCGGTAAACAGCTTGACTATTCACCGCTCCGCCGTCAGATTTAACATTTTAGAGGTCAGAGGCAAGCAGCGGAGCTGTCCCCAACCCTGGCCCAGGCGCCATTGCATGCATATGTGGGAAATGGCAAAGCGCTTTTCTCAGCCGCTGAGCTGCTACAGCTGACAAGAGCGACTTCAATAAATAAAAAAACATTTCCAGGATGGCGACGAATATAAAAATGAAAAAAATATATACGTCAAACTTTATTTTTTATTTTTTGCCCTGGCCACACAAATGTTAGAATGTCACTCAGCACCGAATTGAATCTGTAGCTGCTGAATAAATAAGACTTGAAATGTTAAATTAGATGCGAATGGCAAGTTGGCTTTGAATGCCGTACATTCAAAGCAAAATAAAAAAAAATCTTCCTGTAAGTGGCAGGAGTCACCAGCGTGAGACTCAAAAAGGAAATAAATTATGGAAAATTTCACCTTCGGAGCAAGATTAAGCAACCGCATAACCGTCTGCGTAATTGACAACGAACGGTGAGTGCATTGTCAGATTTAACGACACTGCAATTAATAACCGTGCGCCCCCCCCCCCCCCTCCATCTGATTAGAAAAATTGCTCCCGGTTTCAAAAAATAAAATACAAAACATGCCACTTTCTCGCACCGAATTCACAAACAAAGCACAGATATTATCGGAAAAATAGCGCAAGCGTCTCGTGAAGCGTCATCATCGCCCGCCGGTCCAATTGCACGTCGCGGGCTCGCCGGCGTTCGCCCGGGGCGTGGTCCCGTCGCATTTACCCTGGAGACGTTGCAGATGCGGAATATCCGCGAGATGATGTCCACGTCCTTGCAAGCGGACAGGATCTCCACCTGCACGGGGCCGTACTGCAGCATGCCCTCCTCGGGCCAGTACTGCAGGAAAGTCTGTCGGCAGAGAAACAGCCCCCTCTTAGCCAAGCGACGGTGCCGGGCACGGGCAAAGCAAAAAGGGCAGGGTTCTGAGGAGCTCGAGGACCCTCGCATATGTACAATAAATAGGGGTGCACAAAATATCAGTTAGACATCAAAGCCTAATGAACATAACGAGATAATCAACGTGCAACCCCATTCGATCTGTTAACTCTCTTGTCTGAATATCTATTGTCTCATCTCACTACATCTCTTTTGTTGTCTATATTTCTCTCGTCTCGCTAGATATCCATGTCTCCCGTGTGTGTATCTCTTCTGTCACCCCACAAAAGGAGGGGCTCTGAAAAATTATTTCTGCTTAGGGCCTCCGTTGGGCCGGCTCCAGCACTGCGGTTACAGCGTCGAGCGGAATACGCAAGTGACAGATATTAGAGCTGTCTGCTCATTCAAAACACAGCTTTCCGGGGGAACTCAGGTTCCAGTAAAAAAAAAGTCAATTTCAAGCACAACTCTTTGGGGGCTTTGGTTATTTATTTATTTCTCTTCCATAGAATATATTACAATATACACGGGGCAGGCCAGGAGACAATTAGTCGCCAGATGGGATCGGCGCCCTGTGGAATTGGTCACGGTGGTTAGCGGCAGCCCAGGGCTCAGGGCGGTGTCATCTCTGCAGCGCCAGGAGGGATGGGAGACGCGGGGCAAGTGCAGTGACGACAGATACAGTGAGGGAAAAAAGTATTTGATCCCCTGCTGATTTTGTACGTTTGCCCACTGACAAAGAAATAATCAGTCTATAATTTGAATGGTAGGTTTATTTGAACAGTGAGAGACAGAATAACAACAAAACAATCCAGAAAAACGCATGCCAAAAATGTTATAAATTGATTTGCATTTAATGAGGCAAATAAGTATTTGACCCCCTCTCAATCAGAAAGATTTCTGGCTCCCAGGTGTCTTTTATACAGGTAACGAGCTGAGATTAGGAGCACACTCTTAAAGGGAGTGCTCCTAATCTCAGCGTGTTACCTGTATAAAAGGCACCTGTCCACAGAAGCAATCAATCAATCATATTCCAAACTCTCCACCATGGCCAAGACCAAAGAGCTCTCCAAGGATGTCAGGGACAAGATTGTAGACCTACACAAGGCTGGAATGGGCTACAAGACCATTGCCAAGCAGCTTGGTGAGAAGGTGATAACAGTTGGTGCGATTATTCGCAAATGGAAGAAACACAAAATAACTGTCAATCTCCCTCTGCCTAGGGTTCCATGCAAAATCTCACCTCGTGGAGTTGCAATTATCATGAGAACGGTGAAGAATCAGCCCAGAACTACACGGGAGGATCTTGTCAATGATCTCAAGGCAGCTGGAACCATAGTCACCAAGAAAACAATTGGTAACACTCTACACCGTGAAGGACTAAAATCCTGCAGCACCCGCAAGGATCCCCTGCTCAAGAAAGCACATATACATGCCCGTCTGAAGTTTGCCAATGAACATCTGAATGATTCAGAGGACAACTGGGTGAAAGTGTTGTGGTCAGATGAGACCAAAATGGAGCTCTTTGGCATCAACTCAACTCGCCGTGTTTGGAGGTGGAGGAATGTTGCCTATGACCCCAAGAACACCATCCCCACCGTCAAACATGGGGGTGGAAACATTACGCTTTGGGGGTGTTTTTCTGCTAAGGGGACAGGACAACTTCACCGCATCAAAGGGACGATGGACGGGGCCATGTACCGTCAAATCTTGTGTGAGAACCTCCTTCCCTCAGCCAGGGCATTGAAAATGGGTCGTGGATGGGTATTCGAGCATGACTATGACCCAAAACACACGGCCAAGGCAACAATGGAGTGGCTCAAGAAGAAGCACATCAAGGTCCTGGAGTGGCCTAGCCAGTCTCTAGACCTTAATCCCATAGAAAATCTGTGGAGGGAGCTGAAGGTTCGAGTTGCCAAACGTCAGCCTCGAAACCTTAATGACTTGGAGAAGATCTGCAAAGAGGTGTGGGACAAAATCCCTCCTGAGATGTGTGCAAACCTGGTGGCCAACTACAAGAAACGTCTGACCCCTGTGATTACCAACAAAGGTTTTGCCACCAAGTACTAAGTCATGTTTTGCAGAGGGGTCAAAAACTTATTTCCCTCATTAAAATGCAAATCAATTTATAACATTTTTGACATGCGTTTTTCTGTTATTCTGTATCTCACTGTTCAAATAAACCTACCATTAAAATTATAGACTGATCATTTCTTTGTCAGTGGGCAAACGTATAAAATCAGCAGGGGATCAAATACTTTTTTCCCTCACTGTAACAAATAAAAAGTTTAAATCCCGCAGTCCTCGGGAATTGAGAGTGCAGCACTTTCGCTGTACCAGCACTGATGATGCCAATTACCCACGCGCCACCACGCTCCGCACTGAACCCTTCGCGTGTGCTCTATGGCAGGTGGCAGTGTTGGAACACACATTGTCAATTACCTGTCCAAACCGTTTCTCTTCCTGCCAGGCTCTACATTTACGATAAAAAGTGGATTCAAGCAGGATTTAAACACGGCCACGTCTCAAAGCGCCATGCGGAAACAGCACGTGCGTGCAGTGTTGAGAGAGGAGTGACAGTTGGAGCAGCAAAGCAAGATCTTGAGACGGGACGTGACTAGGTGTGTGGAGTGGACAGCACGTACGGCTGGGGGGGGGAGAGTTCCTGACCACGGAGACCATCAGAGGGGAATGAGCGACCTCCCACTGAGTGGCGGTTGCCTAGGGACTTCAACAGAACGCCTTGGTTGCTGGGGCGGAGCGTGCGGGAAGGGGAGCAGAGTGAAGCGAGAGTGGTGAGGTGGATGGGTGAGTCCACAGAAGATCTTTAAAGGCGGGGAGTGTGATCTTGAAAGTAATCCTGGCCTGGGTTGGGTGCTAGCGGAGCGATCAGAGTATTGGGGTCCGACGAACTGTGTGAACATTATGAACGATGTCGTTTATCCATCATAGAGTTTTTTATTTGTGTTAGATCGTGTAAATATATAAATGTGTCGTTAAAACCCGCCACCACCCGACACAGCCAACTAGTAAGGGTTGTCACGTAAACCACCATCACCCCGCACAGAAATCTGCTCTGATCAAGATGCTAATTTATGGAGCTAAGAAAGTGTTTGATGGTGACAGTCTGAGACGTGAAATTCAACATGTTAAAGAACAACTGCAAATTAACGGTTGCAATGAAGCACAAATCAACAGGGCATTGAATGCCAAAACCAAATCAAATAACACGAGCATTGAAACTGCACAAGTAATTAAAACGATCAAAATACCGTACATTGCGGGAGTAACTGATAAACTAGCCAGATGTTTGGAAAAACAAAACATCTCAGTCAGATTTGCCATGGTACATAAATACAGAAATTAATATCTGGTACAAAAGACGTATTACCAAAGCTATCAACAGAAGATGTGTATGAGATTAACTGCACGTGTGGTAAATGTTATGTTGGGCAAACAGGACGAATGATCAGCACGAGACTAAAAGAACATCAGAGAAATATTAAATTATCTCAAAAACAACTGTCAGCAGTAGCAGCACACGCGTGTGCCAACAAGGACAGTCAATTGATTTTGATAATGTTGGAGTTCAGTGCAAAACTAGCTACTACTGGCCAAGACTAATTAGAGAATCTATCGAAATTGAAAGAAATTAAAATAACTTTAACTGTTCAGATAGCTACTGCCTCAGTGCTGCGTGGAAGCGAATCATCAAATAATACCTTATTTAAATGCATGCCTACAAAGGGCAGCGTACTTCAATAGGATTACCGTTGGTAGGGCTATTTTAATAAACACAATAGACAGGAAGGACAAGTTCAAGGGGCTCGCACAATGCACATGCATCATGTACGTTGACTCAGTGATCACCGCCGCCCCACATTGTGCAAGAGCGCAGCTGCGTGGTCACCACATCTACGCCTCGATATAAGAAACAAAACAGTAATACTTCTCCACAAATCTGGCTGTCGCCTGATGAAGCTAGTTGTAATTACTGGTGAAACGTCGTACTCAGATTGTAAATGTTGGGACTTGGCTCTCCAACACACCGGTGTGCTGTACTAGTGACGAATTGGCACGTTCTGTTTACGTGACAGCCCTTACTAGTTGGCTGTGTCGGGTGGTGGCGGGTTTTAACGACACAACATTTATATATTGATATTGGTCGCGAAAGCCTTCTGCCACGTGTTAAAGTCGCTTATTTAGACAGCCACCCCAGCCTCCTTCCAGGAGGGTGCCGCATCAGAGTGTGTGGCCGGTGCCATTTCATTCCTTGTAAAATATTTTTCATGCCAAAAGAAATTGTGTGTCAGGAGAAGCCCACCATGCAGATGAGGGGGTTTCCGATCACAAGTCCGCAGAGACGGGTTCGCGAGCCCACTCGCCGTACCGCAAACTCCTTGGCCACGTCGCAGCCCGGCGGGAGGGTTGGGAGTTTCACAAATCTGCGTGACGGCGAACGATCCTCGCCTCCCAATTGCAGGGGATCAGAGGGGCGAGGGCCAGGGCACCCGGGCTCGCTCTGCCACCCGTTACACAAATGAGCACTGCGAGGGGATGAAAGCAGAATTTCCTCCCAGGCGCGACCATGGATGAAGGCCGATGGTGAACTCCGAGTCGTGGTTACAAGCCAGGGAAGGAACCCAACTCCTTGCGCCGCTCGCGGCCACACACTCCGTCATCTCCAGCACCGATGCCTTCGGAACGCGATGTAATTATCGTTTGTCATCGATTTCTTGAAATTTGTCTTTCCAGCCTGCCTTGACAAACAAGTTCGGAGGCATCCCTGATAGAAGTCTCTATCTGACCGTGCGGTGTTATTTGTATGTATAGATTCACTTCATAGAGCTGATAAGAGGTCAGTTTGATCATACATCCTTGTGCTAAGATGAACACATGTTATGCTCTCAGTCTTTGATAGTAAAACAGTGAAATTATTCTGCAGAACCGAAGCATTGCCCAGCCACACAAAC